CTTGAGCAAAATCACCCACATTAACATGTTTCAGTCCTGATCTTGATGCAAGTCCTTTGCCCAGTGTGGTTTTCCCAACCCCTGGCTTACTGGCCAGCAGAATGTTCTGCAGCAGCTTAGTCCTCCCGGCGCAGACTCCAGGTGCCTCCTCCTGCGCGTCCTACGCTCAAACCATTCACTTTCCACAGGCGTCATCAGCAAGTAGACTGTGCTGCAAACCCCAAGACTTGATAGGAAACTTCTATATGGAAGGGGTCAACTTTTAAAAAGAGGCACAAAGATGGGGAGAGTTCTCACCCTAGTCACTCGACAAATATTTACTGAGCACCTGCTCAGGAGAATATAAAGGATGGGGGGAAAATTCCTGCTTTTTGTGTGCTTGCTTTCTAGAAGAGACCACAAAGCAAAATCTCAGTAGCCAGACTGGACCAGGCTGAAGCCAAGAGCCTGGAACTCCACCTGGATTTCCTTCGTAGGTGGCAGGAACCCATCGTCTGCTGCCTTCCAGGGACATTAACAGGATGCTGTATTGAAAGCAGGGAACCAGCACTGCTGGCACTTGGATATGGGGTGCAGGCATCCTGAGCAGCAGCCTAACTCTGCACCACAGTTCTTGCCCTCAAACTTTTTTTTTTCCTTAAACATTTATTTATTTATTTATTTGAAAGTCAGAGTTGCAGAGAGAAGGAGAGGCAGAGAGAGAGAGAAGTCTTCCATCCACTAGTTCACTCCCCATTTGGCCGCAACAGCCAGAGCTGCACCAATCCAAAGCCAGGAGGCAGGAGCTTCTTCCAGGTCTCCCACATGGGTGCAGGGGCCCAATGACTGGGCCCATCTTCTGCTGCTTTCCCAGGCCATAGCAGAGAGCTGGATTGGAAGAGGAGCAGCTGGAACTCGAACCGATGCCCATATGGGATGATGGCACTGCAGGCGACGGCTTTACCCGCTAAGCCACAGCGCCAGCCCAGCCCCACCCCCTCAGACTTTTGATCTCATGAATCAGTAGGAGTCTGGCATGAGGTCGCTGAAGTTCTGTTTTGCTCACAAAGAACTCTCTTTGTTACCCTGATTTGTCTCAGTTCACCTTTGAGTGAACAGTCGCTAGCATCACCACTGGACTTGTTTGGGAGACACAGCCTTCCAGTACTGTTGCAGACCGAGAATTAGAGGCAGGCTTTGAGGGGATAGTATTTGTTTGGGCAGAGGTAAGTAAGAATTGATCATATTCTTCAAAAAACTAATTTGCTGCTTGCAGGCTGACTATACCTGTTACACTCCTGTGGCTCAGGTGTCCTGTGGGTTTGCTGAGATCTGTATTACTGAAAAGCCTGTGGTTTGTCAAGTCTCCTACCATTTTTCTCTTTGAACTATTAACTTTTACTTATACAGGAGACCATAACATTATTACTTTGGATAAATGCCTTTCCATTAGCATGAAAGTTCTGATTATTCAGTTACAAAGATGGCCGTCTAGTTCAGAGGTTGACAGACTACAGCCTACGGTTCGAATCCAGCTGACTGGTTATTCTATGGCTCGCGGCTAAAAATTTTTGGTGTTTATATCTTTTAAAGATTGGGGGTGAGGGAAAGAGCATTTCCTAACACATGAAAACTGCAGAAATTCAAGTTTCCATTTCATAAATAAAATGTCATTAAAACACACAAAAAATTTTAAATATTTATTTTTATTTTATTTGAAAGGCAGACACACAAATACATGCTCACAAAGACACACACATACATAGATTTTCTACCTACTTGCTCACTCTCCAAATGTCCACAAAAGCTAGGACTAGGCTATGCCTCACTAGTCATCCAGAATTCAGATTGAGTCTCTCATGTGGGTTGCAGGGACCCAAGTACTTAATCCATCACCTGCTGACTTCAGGGGTGTGCAGTAGCAGACAGCTGGAATTGTGAATAGAGCCAACACTCAGGCCCAGGCACTCCAACATGGGATGTGGGTATCCCAAGCAGCATTCCAACTGCTGTGCCAAATATCCCCCTTCGAAGTATTTTTAACAGTGCTTTCTATGACTAATTTATTGTCTGCATCTTCTCTCTCCACCTTCATTAGCTTATTAATTCTTTGATACCAGGAACCATATCTATTATTTTTCCCAATGGTTGTCAGGTGGGAAAAAGTTTCTCCTATGTAATAAGGGATCAACAAAAGGTTTGTAGATTGAGTGTATAGAGGTAAATGGCTGAGACAGTTTTAAAATTCGCTAGGTGCTTTGATATATATTGTCCTAATTGAGCTACAGAACATTGCTGTCAGATAGTACCAGTATTTTCTTATTGTACATATTAGAAGACTGAAGCTTGGAGATATGGAGAGACTTGCTAGAGAGAAGAGCCCAAACACAACAAATCCTTGGATTGCACTCAAGTTTTCTGACTTCAGACTTCATGCAGTCTTCTGCTTCTCTTTTGTTTCTTTCTTTGTTCCATTTTAATCTATTTTAATGATAATTCACCCTGTTCACTTCAATGCATTGTTTTCAACATCAAAAGCTAATATGTAAGATATTATTTATTTAGTATTTAAATGAACTTATAAAGTAGCCTAATTGTTTTGTAAAGTGATATAAATCAGAAAAGTATCATTTTAAAAGATGGAGTGAAGGAAGAGGAATCTGGCCTGGGAATAAAGGGTTTACAAAGGAACAGGCTTTGAATTCTGAATCATTTCCTGGTCCCTGATGACATGGGCAGGTCAAGCTGGGCAGACCAGCAAGGGAGGGAAAGAGTTCCTTTATGAGATTTCAACACTGTCTTGAATTGCTGAGATGTGATCAGCATGCATTTTCGTTATGTTATCACATGTTTTCAGTGTATTACCAATGAAATTAAGGAGCCGCAATTTTATTCTTGTATGTAACCCCCATATATAGAAATGCTGAGTTTTCATGGTGATAAATTCTAACAAATTAGAAATGTTCTCACTTTTCTTTTTACCTCTATTATAAATGGAAAATTTTCTTGTGGCACCAAGAAAACTGAAAATGGAAGTACATTTGTTTACAAAATAACTTTGATAGTATTAAGAAGTATTTCTGATTAATTATGCAATAATTAGTAAATAGAATCATCCAATAATTACTGAACATATCAGATATGGATATGTACATCATTTAGTCTGTCTGAACCATCCATCTCTTCAACGAATATTTACTGACCACCAACTCTCTGCCAGGCACACTTCTCATTGCAAGATGATGAAAAGTGGTTGACCTTATGGAGTTTACATTCTAGTGGACAAGACAAACAATGAAAAAACTTGACAAAGAAATGCTTGATAAACTATCAAACAATGATAAGTTCTATGAAGAGAAATACAATAATGTAAAAGAATACAGAGTAATGGAGGCGTGGAGTCACGAATGTTATTTCAAGGATGTGTCAGAGAACATTCCCCAAGCATTTAAAATTTGAGCAGGAGTATGAATGAAGGTCTAAGTCAGATTAAGGTGGCAGTATAGAGTTTCTGGACCAAGGAACAATAATTATATACAAAGTTCCCTGGGCACTCAAAAGCTACCAGACACACTGAGGCACAAAGCAATGTCAACAAGATCCAAGAATTAGGCTAGATCATTGTGTTGAATTTCTTCCTCTTTTTAAAAACAGATTTATTTATTTACTTATTTATTTGAAAGGTTGAATCACAGAGAGAAGGACACACACACGCACACACACACAAACACAGACACTGAGAGAAAGATGGGGAGGGGAACTTCTACCTTTCCACTCTCCAAATGGCCACAACAAGCAGGGCTCTTGGGCCATCTCCAACTGCTTTCCCAGGATTATTAGCAGGGAATTAAATCACTGCAATACGGGATGCCAGTATCCCAAGTGACAGCTTGTGCTGTTTCACAATCCCAGCCCTCATCTTGGAGGGCTTCTAGGAAGAGATGGGGATTTGAATTTGCTGAATGGTGGGAACTCTCGGAAGGTTTAGGCAAAGAAATAACCCAACTGGATTTCCTTCTCAAAAGATAATTCTGGTTGCTGTGTAGAGAATAGTTTGTAGAATACTCAGAAGGTTATTGTGCTGGTCTAGGCAAGAGATAGCCGTGGTGTATGGGACGAGTCATCAGAAGATGACATAGCTCTCTTCTGATTACTTCTATCTTCTTAGGGAAACTACAGTTGAAGTCATTAGCTGAGAATGACATTTGAGATGTGAAAAAGCATGGATGAGAGAGTGCCCAGAATAAGGAACCAATACTGGGATTGTGGGATGGTGGTGTGGGCTTAAAGCTGTGCTCCTGAGTCTGACGTGAGACAACACAGTGTGGCTGTGTCTGCCTCCAGCCACTCTTCAGTTGTTCTGGTCAGAACAGAGTGCTGGGTTTTCCTGGTGTTAAGATTTTACCCCATGAGTATGGTGAATTGGGGGACAACAGAGAGATTACTCTGTGACCTCTGGAATGCAGGTGTGGCAGAGGAAAGTGAGGATATGAGGTAAGAATGGTGGTGAAACGTGCATTTGTGGGTCCCACAGCCTCCTTGCTGGCCAAGACCTACTGGAGCAGCAAGGAGGCAGCCAGCTGGAAAGTGGGTGGGGGATTGGCCATCCTGTGCTTGAAATAGAGACTTTGGGAGTGGCCTGCGGTGTGAGAGCGCAGAAATGGGTTATCTCCTCGAGTACAATATAACCTTGGTGTTTGCTAGGTGTTTCTCTCCTCCAGGCCACTGGAGATCTCTGGATTGTTAAAATCATCACCAAGTTGAAATCAGCCCTGTACACGACCCAAAAGGCAAATGACTTTATTGAGAATTTAAAGTCTGAAGACATGCTCTTTCTGCAGATAGGGCTGTAATAGTCACGGTATTCTGGGGGTGTCATAGTGAAGTGAGAACATGCTCTGACCTTTGGGCTCAGTGAGGATGCCCGCCCCCTGCGGGTTCCCACATCTGCCACTCTTCTGGCGGGGAACCCTCCCCATTCCCAGACAGCTGACAGGGAGCAATGATCACTGGGAGTCCCCCAGGCAGAGATCCTCAGGAGGGATGCCATTCCCGGGTGGCAGCCAGCTCTTATGATCTCACACCACGTCCTACTTTTCAGTATGCTAACCCTGTTTTAATTTCTCGCGGAAAGGGTTAGAATTTCTCGCTGTGGGGCAGCACGCTGGAGCTAATTCCTGCATTTGGCTCTTGGGAGTGACCCAGGAGGCTTCCCAGGAGCTGGAATAGGTGCTTTGGCTCCCTGGCCTTGCTGCTGCAAAAACCAAGGGTGCGTCCCCCTTTCCGATTCTTGACGTAAGCTCCGACAGCAGGGGAGCCTCGCCAGGACGTTGGAGAGCAGAGGAAGACCAGCAGGGAGAGGAAGCCATTGCAGCAACAGCTTGGAAGAGGGAGCTGGAGGTCTCTCGCCAGAAAAGCAGGAGGGGGCTAGAGCCTGAGCACGGGAAGACGCGGACCTGCCGGCTCCAGGAGCCGCTGGGTTGCTGCAAAGCGGGGCGGGGAGAAGGCGGGGGCGCTGCATGCAGCGCGCTGGCTCCAGCGGCGCCCGCGGGGAATGTGACATCAGCGGCGCCCGGCGCTTGCGGCTGGAGGAGGCGGCTCGCCTGGGCTGTGCTGTGCACACCTCGCCCGGGGGAGGACGCAGACTCAGGCAGGCGGCCGGGATGTCGGCGAAGGAGAGGCCAAAGGGGAAAGTGATCAAGGACAGCGTCACCCTCCTGCCCTGCTTTTATTTTGTGGAGGTAAGTTGGCCCGGCGCCTTTGGCGTAATGCAGATCCTACGGGAAGCTCGGGTGCGAATTCAGATCCTGGGCTGTGTGGAGAGCTCAGACAGTCCAGGGGGCGCGCCGCTGTCCCCAGATGCCCGACCCTCCCATTTCCCCCCAGGTTTCTCGGAAACTCCCCCGAGTGTGCCTGTAAACACCCGCTAGGCGGGGGTGACTGCCATAGAGGTGTCGCTGCTGGGCGGACCTGCAGGGAAGGGATACCTGTGTGAGTGAGTGTGGGTCTAGTTCCCCAGGCCTCCTGTGGTGCATGTGTGCACAGAGTCCGTCCCTCAGTGCCCCAGAAGGGCCATGACGCCCACACTTCGGGATTTGTGTCTCCAACCTGTCCACTGTATATCTAGAACTCTGTGAGCTGTTGGTAAGATTTCAGGTGCACACAGCTACGCCCAGACCATGTGAGGACCCTAGGTGTTTAGAGGATTGGGATTATTGATTGCTGTTATCACCTCCGCCCCACCCTTATCTTATTATAATTACTCTGGTGTTCACTGCCTGCTTCTAAAATTGGCTCTGAATCCTTAGGTGTCAATCATTAACCTACTGGTCCTCTTTCATGATAAATATATTGTATATATATATACACACACACACACACACACAAGTATACACCTTTAAATGCATATATGTTGTGTATATACTATATTGATGTGCACATATACATTTTTATATATTTTAAATACATGACATCATCTGATTTTACATGATTTGTGTCTGTGCATTTCTTCTGTGCTTAATAGCATTACAGTTAAACAATTCACATGCATATGTATTCATAATCAATCTCTAACTTACTGAATGCAGTATTTGAGGGAAGGATAATTTATGGGAGGGTTATAAAGATTGACAAGTACAGTGATTCCATACACTGTAATCCATTGCATCAGGAAGACATTTTAAAACAAGAGGTTTATTAAATTACAGGTAGAGAAGAGATTAATACATAGGTTTCAGGAAATCATATGGCATTAAGGGTCAAGCTATGTTCTGTGTAATGAGAGTCCAGGTTGCATAGAGAATTATTAGGCTTTTGCTGAATTATGAATCTCCTTCCTTGCCTGTCTTTTCAGCCAAATATGGAGGTTTAGCAATTCCAAGTACAGATACTAGATTTGGTATTTGATGACTGTAAAGCTTATTTGGGTGAGCAATAGTCTTTGCCTTGAAATTTGGAGGAAGGGACATGGTCAGACTGTTCTAATAGGTAACAGTATATATGAAAGTTTTTTTAGGCATCATAAATTTTGAAAATGATTTGTTTTAAGAAAGATGTATGTGACTTGCATACATCGCAGAGAAATGATGGGTAACCCTTTCTACGTAATCCATGTTTATTTAAAATAGTTTCTTGATTCGTTTATGGTACTTCCTCTGCTCACAAGAGATTTTGAGACCGTGATGTAGGCAATTTTTGTCAAAAGATAATGAAGAGCTTTCTCAAGAAAAATGTGGGCTGGGGATTCTATGATGAATAGAGTGAAGGAATAGAAAGATGGGATACCTGCCTTCAAATTCACTCTGTCAGGCCACTTGTCGCATTACTAATCCACTGTAGTTTTCAAGTAAACAGCTTCATTCAAGTCTGGCTCCATTACATTTGTTTAGAAGAAATCAGTGAATTGTTAGGTTTGACCCCTAGAAGGGTAGGAAGGCACACACCTGAGGTCAGCTGGAGGCAGATTATGTGTGGATTGTAGCTGAATGTCTTCAAGGGAAATATTTTCACAAAACAGGATGTAAAACAGAAAATTAAAGGTGGGCCTTTTAAGAATCCGCATGTGCATTTTTGCGGTAACTTTAACAGGTGTACGTGTTCCATAATCTAGAATTCTAAAAGTAAAAGCACTTCACAATGCATTTTGAGTTGTGTCTCTAAGAGTACAGAGCTCACAAATATTACTTCTTTTCCATGAGTGGAAATAGCCCAAATTCATTATTTTCACTTTGACTCTCTGAAATTCCTTAGGAGGGCAAACTCTAGAACAATTATGTGCAGACAGTTTAGAGTTAGGATGAGTATTTGTGATACTATATCTTGGGAGTGACCAACTTCAAAGGGAGAACTACAAAATTGGATTGCAAATTATCCCTCTGAAACTTAAATGCATGATAAACCAATAAAGAGTTTCCAGAGAATGGGAGAAGGCATTAATACACGAATTATTTAAAGAGGTTGACAGGACGTACTACCAAGCTCCATTGAAACGACTCATTTTGAAGCTGGTGAGAATGAGCTTTACATCTCCTTTGGAGGATCAATACACATAGCTTGAATTAACATAATGACATTTTGCTTTACAAAATAGCTTCCTCAGACCTAAGTAATTAGAATGAGAGAGTAAAACATGAATGAATATTCTTCCATCACATATCAGACAAAATAATATATATCAGTCCATTTCTGTTACATTGGATAACAACTTATGTCGCATAAAGAAACTAAAAGGACCAGACCTTGAGAAAAAGTCGCTGGTTCTCCAGTGACACCACAGATGACTTAAATTGTCTATCTTCAAGGCATCCAAGGAGTTTTAAACTATTATTCATGGTAGGTATAAGAAACTAAGAGTCTTTAGTTGGAAACTGAGGAAGGAGAAATGTTCCCATAGACCAGAGGGGATAGAATCAAGTTAGACTGAATTATGGCAAGAAAATTATGATACATTTCGGGGAAAACCTGAACCTTGAGACATATTGACGTGGTTCAAATGCCACCAATACCGCAAATTACTTGGATAATTCTAGCCATGCTACTTTTCCCAGTTTCTTCATATATTAATCACATAAGCTAAATATAAATACATGCATATCCATATATAATAGAAAGTATTAAGCACATCACTTAAGATATAGAATACATTATGAGGCTAAAACATCATGCTGAGAGAAGCTAGGTACTTTCTTGTAACTGGAAATGGATTATTCCAGGCGAGGTTTAGGGATCAAGTCCTGACCAGGTTTAGCTGAGAGTTCCAGAAAAATCCTCCTCCTCCCAAATTTCCAGAATGGCTTGTATTCCTGATTTCCTGGAATGGACCTGTATTCACAGACATGAATAGGAAGAGTGGCATGCTATTTAGGTTGTGCCATGATAATGGCAAGCATTTCTGAAGCACTTCATATGTACTATGAGTAAAGCTAAATGCTTTCCATGAACCATCCTGTTCAACCTTCAGAGATTCTTTTTAGGAAAGAGGCCATCATTATCTATTTTGTGCAAAACAAATGGGAAGTCAATCCCCTCAAGCAGAATGGGAGGCAGACTGGGGTGGTCACTCAGATACCCAGCTCTCCAACGTGGCAGTAACTGTCTCCCTCAACTTGCTGATATAGGATACATTGCTTCCTGTGGTTTCTCACTGGTAAAAATAGACATGGGTGATAACACAAGGACATATTGGCAAAGGTGATACAACATTCCCTGGCAACAAACCAGCTTCCTCAGCCCTCGGCCACTGCAAGTTTCTAAGAACCAGAAGCATGCAGACTGGTATCCTCTCCATGCTGATTTGGTTAGCAGTGAGTGCCCCTCAGCAAATGCCCATAGCCAGCAAAAATGTGAGCACATGGACAGTCCATCTGCAGTGTCAAGTGTCTTTCATTATATCCCTGTGAGCACTAAGCTGTTCAGCCACTAACGTCAAGTAAGCTTGTCCCAGTTCACCATCAAATCTGATGTTGAACAAAACATTAACTTAGCAGGTTGAATTCTTTTTCTTACATCTTTGGTTTATGCTTCTATTTGTAATTGACAGTAATAGTACAAGGTAATTTGAAAAATGCCTGATCTCCAGTAGAACACCTTATCTTTTGAATAAGCTTGATAATTCAGTTCCACACTGTTCAATTCCAGAAAAGAAAGATCATTTTGTGAAAGGAACTCTCCAACAGACATATCCAGAGTCTGATTATGTTGAACAGAAAAGACAGTTAAAAGGTTTGCTCCACCAAAGAAACAGTTTTCTCTTGCTTTTAAGCTCCAGTGTTCTCCAAGTCACAGATGTATCACTTACAGTGGCAATTGCACCAGCAGCAGACCTAGAATCAACAAAAGGTTGTTCACATGTTATAGCCCAATGTTACGGGTGCTAAGGCAGGATGTCTTAGTGCCTAACACATTTACCTTACTCAGAGCATTGTAATGATCCCACCAATACATGGACTTGTGATTTTGTTCTTATTGGCGGTTCTGCTCAAGATCAGTTTACTACATAATGTAAACAAATGATAAATTATTTTTAAATGAATAAAAGACAAATTCTTAATATAAAATACATTTTAAAGTTTATTTTCAATAAACATTCTGCTTTGTGACATACATTTTTGCTACTAATTTTAATGCTAAACTTATGGAGAGAGAAGAATTATGTTTGACCTATATAGAAGATATTTTTGACAGATTTAGATACTGGTAAGAGTTTGAAACCTCTTGCTTTTCACACAAAAGCTGGTTCACACACACACAGGCACATACACACATCTGTGTGTATATAAGAGTAAGAATATCAAATTTCACTCTAGAAAGCATAAACTTACAGTCTGAAATGTTAAAAACTAAGAAAATTTAAAACTCAAAACTCTAAAGACTAAGAAAACTTAAAACTCAAAAGAATTAAAAGTATACTTTCATTTGAATTGTGTACTTAGCAATTGGTATGTTGCAGGATTTTGTTAATTCAGCCTCATTACTATATTGCACCCCCTATCTAGACTGTATTTGGGAGTAAAAGTCATTGCTACTCTGTTGCCTTCTACCTAGGGGAGTTCAAAAGCCTTTGAACAAAGACCCTCTGGTTAGTTAATCTGAAACCCATGACATGACACTGTGATGTCTTGACAAAACCTTAATATGATTTTAGGTTTTTTCCCCATTGGAAAGAGTCCATACATTCTTAATTGCAACAATATTATTTCACAAGATTTTCTTCTATCTCATGTTCTTTAGGAAAATTATATAA